GCTGTAATAAGCCAACCTCTCCTGCTTCATCCTCTGCCGTTGCCTCGCCTTGTGATTCTGAAACCAATAGAACACATTCTTCCCTTCTGTCGTCCCGAACTCCCTCAGCCTCGCTGTTATCTGCTGGATTTGCTCGGTGCTCGGCGTGCGGAGGCCTTGACGGTAGAGAGACTCGAGGATGGCGATCTGGTCTTTGGTTGGGTTCCATCTCGAGCCTGAAGCCGCTGAGGCCGAGGCTGAAGAGGAGGAGCTGTTGGGTTCCATTGATGGATATAGTTGTAGCTAGGGTTGGAGCTTGAGGCCGGAGAGGGTAAATATATAGGGTGAGCTAGCTTGCATGTTGAGCGTGGGGGTAAAGATGGTATTTCGTCTCATTGTGGGGTCCAAGAAACGTGAAGAGTGCATGAGAGAGGTTAGGGTTAGAGAGAGGGGGAATGATTGTTGTGGGACCCTAATTTTGGAAGTAATTTGGTTTTGTGTCCTATTTTAGGTTCTTAGTCATGTTTAAATATATCCAAACTTTTAACATAAAAACGGACCTTATATATATTGTAATAATATGAAGATAGACCTTCTCACACACGGAGTATAAAATTATATGAAAAATTTTTCTGCAAAGCATTGTCTTTTGAATCATAAAGAAAACAACTCATGAAATATTCTTAAAACTGTACGATCCTTTTGCTATATACGTTAAAATTTTAGAAATTGTTTAAGGCACAATCACAATAATTGTAGTTCAGTAAGTAGGTTAAAACCAAGTACTCTAATCCAAAATAACTCGGAGTTCAAAAATTGTCTAAGCATTCCAATTTAAAATCTAAGAATAATCTTTAATCCTAAGAATCAACACCAAAATATATTGCAGTCTAGGTCTCGATAGCAGAAACCAGGATTGCTGGACAATTATTCTGGTTCTAACTAATTAAGAGTTATGGATCAATAACGAACGCCTAGGATGGAATGTGTACGTATAAGGTGTGTAGTAACTATATGTTTTTGCGCCTTTTATTCTTGAAATATCCTACATTATATAGGCGAAATT